GGAAGGAAGGAAGGAAGGAAGGAAGGAAGGAAGGAAGGAAGGAAGGAAGGAAGGTTTCTTACGTTCCCTGCTAGCATCCCAGAAGCAAAATCAATGGGGAAGCCAGCAGCAAGTCATAAGTTGCTCACACTCGCACTGCTTTTTTGCCCTTGGTTATTCTGTTTCTCTGTATAGGTAAGGAAATATCTCTGAAATGACCCAATGGGTCACCAGTTGTCTAGTAGTCTCTTAATGCTGTGTGAATATCTTGCTTATGTGATAGATAAGAGGCCTCTTGGCATAGGCATCTGCAGGGGGCAAGTGGCATCACGTGAATCATTGTGCAATGATGCTGTGATATACTTGATGTCATTGCAGTTTCTATCTGATGCCTGTGTCTCCTGGTACATTTTTGATCAGATAGGCTGCCAGGTTTCCTTGCACAGGGTAATTCATTCATCCTAATTTCTGTATCATTATGCAAGAAAACAAACCTAGATTTGCTAGACTTTACTGTTCCTTTATATTAAATTCTTCTAGTTTTCTAAAGTTTTCAAACTGTTTTTAAATGCAATTCTAGTATAAAATATAAGCCAAGAAATTATTGTGATAAGCACTGTACACATTGAGATCCAAGGAAGTTATATACAAGAACCTCTTTTATTATGGCCAAAATAAGAAATCCCCAAAAGTTCAGAAAAGAAAATAGAAATGTTCCTGGTAAAATATATCTGGGTATATTATATTCAAACATGAAATATTGTTTCATATGTAGATAGGCCATCAAAATATACTGAGCTTATTTTGGCTGCTTTTCATCTTTACTTTGAGCTTTGAATATTTATTCATAATTGCTGTAAAATCAATGACAGATTTTCAAAATGTAAAGAAATGCCTGTTTCCAAGGGAAGCTATGCACTTGTGAAAAGTCACAGTATCATATTGACAATTGTGAATGAAGAGTAGGAGGCTCCAGTGACTCATTCTTTTGATTAAAATGCAGTCTACATGGTGAAAATGTATGAAGACCTCCACCTCTTCACTGAAAGCCTATAGAATCTGACATTTAAAAAAATGCCTACACTGACTGCCTTTCTGCTCAGAATGCATTTGGCATATTTCTCTGCAGCTAAAAAGGAGGCAAGCTTTCTATTCAGTTCTTAGTGTTGCCTCTAACCAAAAGTTACTCAAAATACAAACTAGTAAATAAAAAGTTATCCAAATCCTGCACTCTGCCAGATGTGCACCATGAAAGTAAATACAAAAATGCAGAATAAACAATATACTATTGGCTGTAGAAAACTGAGCTTTTTGTCTTATATTGTAGAGATTATTTTCCTTCCTCTGCTATTTTCTCTTTGAATGCCCGTCTCTTCTTGAAGCTGCCTGTTATCAGTGTACACTACTGCTCTATACTATTTTGTTGCTTTTTATTTTTATTTACAAATGTATATATGCCACCCATCTCACTGTACAAGTGACTCTGGGTGGTTTTACAAGCAAAAAACAATAAAATCTTAGAAAAAATATACGTTAAAAACTAAAAAAGGTTAAAATTAAACGTTAAAACCCCAGACTAAAACGTTAAAACCCCAGACTAAAAAGGCAGAGAGAGCATCCTCAAGCCAGCAACCACCCCCAGTGCTGCAAACCTCCGTTGGGTCCCCATGCAAGTTGGCAGAGCCAGGTCTTGAAGCCCTTTTGGGAAGCCAACAGAGTGGGGGCCACTCTCATCTCAGGGGGCAAGATATTCCAGAGAGCGGGAGCCACAGCAGAAAAGGCTCTCCTCCATCAGAACTTTCCAGGCGACGGAGCCCATAACATACCCTTCCTGCCGGACCAGGTAGAATGGGTCAATGTGATGGGGGCGAGACGATTCCTCAGGTAACCTGGGTCCATGCCGTGAAAGGCTTTAAAGGTCATAACCAACACCTTGAATTGGACCTGGAAGCAGACCAGTGCCCAATGCAGCTCACACAGCAGACATGTTACATGCACAGCCCTAGAGGCCCCCATAACTGCCCGTGCCACCGCATTCTGCACTAGCTGCAGTTTCCAAATACTTTCCAAGGGTAGCCCCATGTAGAGTGCATTGCAATAGTCTATACCACGGATGACCAGGGCATGAGTGACTGAGAGAAGGGCCTCCCCATCCAGGAAAGGGTGCAATTGGCACACAACACGGAATTGAGCAAAGGCCCTCCTAGCCACAGCTACCACCTGCTCCTCAAGCAGGAGTTGTGAGTCCAGGAGGACCCCCAGATTGCACACCGGGTCTGTCTGAGGCAATCCAACCCCATCCAGAACCAAAGATGGTAAGACCCCAGATATGGAAGAGCCCCGAACCCACAGCCACTCCATCTTATCAGGGTTCAGTTGAAGCCTGTTGTTCCCCATCCATTCCCCACCCTGTTGTTCCCCATAGCCTCCAGGCATCATGAAAGAACATCCACAGAATCACTTAATTCACCTGGGACAGAGATGTATAATTCAGTATCATCCACATACCGATGATACCCCATCCCATGGTGCTGGATGATCTCACTCAGCTTCATGTAGATATTAAAAAAGAGCAGAGAGAGCACCAAGCCCTGCAGCACCCCACAAAGCAGGGGCCACAGGTTGGACCTCTCACTTCCTATCAAGAAAGATTGGGAATGGCCTTGGAGGAAGGAGGTGAACCAGCACAAAACTGTGCCCCCCACTCCCAACTCCTGCAGCTGACCCAAAAGGATACCATGGTCAATGTTATGGAAAGCCACTGAGAGGTCAAGAAGAGCCAGGATGGATGCACTACCCCCATCCTGGTCCCGCCAGAGATCATGTAAAAGCATGACCAATGCTATTTCTATCCCTTATCCGGGCCTGAAACCCGATTGGAAGGGGTCCTGATACTTTGTTTAATCCAAGATCCTCTGGAGCTGCAGTACCACCACCTTCTCTATCACCTTCCCCAAGAAGGGGAGGTGAGAGACTGGATGAAAATAGTCCAGAACAGTGGGGTCAAGCGATGGCTTCTTGAGGAGAGGGCGAACCAGCACCTCTTTAAAAGGAGCCGGAAACACCCCCTCTCTCAAGGGTGAATTAACCATCACTCAAACCCACCCACACAAACCCACCCACACATCACCTCTCAGGTGGCTTTGACCAACCAGGAAGGGCAAGGATCTAATGCACAGGTGATTGCAGTTATACACCCAAGAACCCTGCCCACTTCCTCAGGCCCAACAGGATCAAACTGTTCCCAGATAACAGGGCAAGTCCACTCCCCAGGCATCTCCAAAGGACCTGCACCATGCTTGGTCTCCAACTGGGAATGAATGCAAGTGATTTTATCCACCAGATGTTCAGCAAATTCTTTTGCATGCCCTGAAGATAAACCTCCAAGCCCCCCTTACCCAGGAGGGTCCAGGTAACCTTAAACTGGGCTGCCGGGTGGCACTCTGTGCATGCAATAAGAGCAGAGAAATAATGGCATTTTTTGTTGTTGTTGTTGCAAGCCACTCAGAACTGAAGTAGATAGCAGGTATGCATTTCTACTCACTAATAAAAGTATAAATAACAGTTCTAGGAGGAAATTGATCTATCACTAATCAAGCAGATCACATTGGGCTTTGATCTGAAAAGTGATCAAACTTAAGTTTATGTAATTTGTAGATTCTTGGGAAGTCAGTAATACAGCTGAATCTATGCACAATCATGAGCAAGCTGGGCAAGCCTCAGAAGTCAATCTCTTTCAGCCTCACTCAGCGCTAGAATACAGCAGACGTTACTTCTAGGTTAGATGAATAATAGATGAATATAATCTCATTTCAAATCAAATCCCTTCCCTGAATAACCAGGAAAATTGGTTTGATAATGAGTTCACTTAATCTTTTTCAGAATTTCCATTAAAATAAGCTATGTGTAGACAATATTCACAGACCTTTCTATACAGTGTTGATAAAACATGTTACATACAATTATAGACATTTCATAATATCTTGCTTTGATTTTCAGATTTAACATATACTCAGGAATAGACAACCTGTGCCCTTCCAGATGTTGTAGAACTACAGTACCCAAAATTTTTCACCATGAGGACAGCCAGATGGCCATGTTAAAGTTTGTTCCTCCAATTTGTGGGCTGCCAGAAAAGTATGCCAGCATAAATTGCACTATTCTTACTGCTGGTTTCTATTTTGCTTCAGTAATAAGGCTGGAGAATGGTGCTGTCTTTACTGTTTTAATGTTGAACAAATTAAAGAAGTGATTGATGAATTCCCCTGGCTTTGTTTCTCTTCCATTCAAGCATCAGCTGCTAGGTGAAAAACAACCACTAGTTGCTCTCCTTGACATGTGGTGGGGTGGGGATAGGCAAGTGTACCTAGGAACTGTCAGGTTACCTGACTAACAGGATGCAGGTGTGGAGGAGAGGCATGGGGTGAAATAGGGGGCAATCATGGATAAGCAAGCTCCATCCTCAGTCAGTACTGCAAGGGAATGGCAGCACCTGGGAAGTAGCTTGTGGGGTAGGCAAATGGTGCTGCCCCTGGCCAGTAATAAAAAAGTAAAAAATATGGCCCACAAAATCCCTTCTTGACAGAAGCAGCTGAAAATCTATAATGCATTCACTCATGACAGAATCAGCAGCACACAGCTGGCAGAATCTAGCTGTCTGTCTTGATTTAAATCAATTTGTATAACACAGACTCAGTGCTCTCTCAAAAGAGTGCTAAACTGATGTATATAAGGAGCCTGCATAAACCACTAGTAAAGGAAGTCTGATTGGCCCAAGCCAAAAGGACCATGGAGTATAGTGACCTGAGGATAGGGAGTATACCTGCAGCACTCTAAAGATCCCAATCCCCCAAGTCATGCTTGATTAAGTATATTAGATGATGCCCATAGTAACAATTGTATTGAGAAAACAGGTGCTTTAAGCTGATTCACCTACCGGTGAGGGAAGAGATGAAGGCAACATAGCATTAAAAAATATTATCAGGGCATGGTTTGGCTGCAGTTAGGAGGACATGAGAATGAGCTGGACAGGCTATATATTTATTTATAGGCTGTATTGGATACCTCATAAATGCCACAGGGTATCCATGGATAGGACCAGAGCCTGCCTCACTGAAATCCCATCCTACAATCAGGAGTATGCTAGATCACTCCATGTTTTCCTACATACTGAAAAACTGGTGGCAGAGGCATGAGACATCAGAAAGAGACTTTGAAGATGAAGTTTACACTAGGGTAGAGATTCTCTGAAAGCTGCAGGTTCTCCATCCCTCATGCAGCCCAGGTGAGAGAAAGGCTCATTGCAGCACAGGCCAACATTGACATTTAGTGAGACAATTACAGTGATTTGCATATTTGAATAAGGCATCACAGTTCCAACACCATAGTAGATCTTTCATCTCACCTCAAACAAAATGAAATCTGTTTATTAATAGAGATAGTTGACACAGTGTGAGTCATTAGAAGGTATATGTAATGAAGAATAATTTAAAAGCACTGTTATTTAATTGGGAATTAATTTGAGGTCAGTCCATTTCCCTCCAAAAATGCTGTGCAGGAAAAAAACAAAGGGATGGGCGGTGCTCCTGTGATTGTTAAGAGAGTTCATAGCCTGACTGCAGTTAGGGCATAGGCTTCAGATCACTGATAAGGAAAAGTAAAGATTTGGTTTCCTTTCTAAGAACCTCTGTCTTTCCTGAGAAAGAAACTAGAAAATACTTCTGAAACGATAGTATCTGAAATAGAACATTTATGTGTGAATCAACTGAAAAGAGATAATTGGCATTGTCCTTGTATTTCCATCAATGCCTGGGGCTTCCAGACAACTTGGAAATAGGAGTTTATTAATTCCATAATTTAATTTAATCAGTTCCTGCTTCAGAAGAAATGCTGCGACAACAATCTCATAGTGCTTCTTCTGTGATTGCAAGGCAATGGTTGCAATAGTGTGAACGCCCACTTTGACTTCGTCCCCACCTCTGGGGATCTACCCTCCCTTCAAAAGCCAAATACTTCAGTGTTTTGGGCTCTTCTTGCATCCCTTCTGCTGAACCAAGTGGCTAGCTTGCTTTCCCCATCTTGACATGCCATAGAAAGTTCATGTGCCAAAATGAAGAGCCACCTCTTCCTATTTTTGGCATTCCTCCATTATCTAGTTGTAGGAAACACTGGCTGATACAAGAAGGGGAAAGAGCACTGCAAAAATTATTACAGTGAGAACAACAACGTTGGCATATATGTGGAAAAAGCCTGCATCATCATCATCTAGACTTAGTGCTATTATTTTTGGAAAGAGTTTATTGCCTTTTGATTTGTAGGTATGTTTTGTCCAATGTATTATATTTCTTATTTCCAAATTATCATTGCCACAGAACTCAGTCTAGAAATAATGGCTGTAAGTTACAGCAACCTAGATTTTGTTTAAATATAATGAAAAATTTCCTGAGTAAAATCTGTGCAACATTAGAATAGTCTCCTACAAGGGGTTTGAGTTCTCCATCTCTGGAGGTTTTTAGGAAGAGGCTATTCTTGAGGATAGTTTAACTGGATTTTCTGCACACTGCAGAGGGTTCAATTAGATGATTCTTGAGACTTCTTCCAGCTCCACAATTCCATGGTTCCATGATGTTGCCCTGGTACATCTGATCATGCTGGGAGCAGCTGAATTTCTGTCCAGAATATCCTCCAGCATCTGGCTCCAACAAAGCTGTAAAAAAAAACCTCTGCTCTTCTCTCTCTCTCTTTTTTTCCCCCCTGAGTGAAGTAATAAAATGTTCTGTTGCAAGCTCTGAAAGAAATGCTCTTTATTTTGAAAGCTCTCCTAGAGAGACTATATCACACAGATATACAACTTAAAAGTTTAAAAAAAGCTAGGAAGTCTTCGTCTTTGAGAACAGATT